AATAAAATTTTAATATATAATTTTTGTTTCTTTCAATATTTCTCTTTTATTTTTCTTCTATGGATATTAGAATCATGATTAAAAAATTATTTTATTGTTATACCGATTATATTCGTTTCTATCAGTTTCTCTCTTTTATTGGTTATTTCCATTTTCTATGAAAAAATCAAATTGCAACTAAAGATTCTTATAAAAAAAAATTTCATCATTTTTTTATGAAAAATATCTATTTAATTAACACGTTTGAACCCCCCCACCCTCAATTTTTTATTTTTTATTTTTATTTATTTTTTGGAAATAATGCATTTTGGAATAGTATTTTGATGGAGAATATATGTTAAAAATAAAAAAAAAATTTAATTTGCATGTTATTCTATTAAATAATGTGTGCTAAAAATAAAAGAGAGAAATATATTTTGAAAATGATCGAGGGCCAAACAGGGGACATATTACAAGATTTTGTATTTAAAAAAAAAACTAATTTATAATTAAATTTAAATATGCCATTGTTTGAGCCCCATTTTATTTTTATTTTTTTGTTAAAAATGTATTTTGAATAATGATTTTTTAAGAGAATGTGTGGTTATAAATTAAGGAAAAGTTTGCGATTTACGTATGATATTATTTTATTAAAAAAAGTGCAGTTGAAAAGAAGAAAAGAAAAATGTATTTTAATAAAAATAGGGCTCAAACATTGTTTACTTTTTAAGTCCATGTTTAATACAAATTAAAATCTAAATTTTATTGTAAATTAAAATCAACAATTAATTTTAACTATACATTTTATGGGACCCACAACTTTTCAACCACAGTTTATCAATTTTTATCAAAATCTACTAAAAATTATATTTAATCCCCACTAAACAAGGGCTAAATATATGTCATATTGATAATATTGATCATTAATTTTATTTAATTTTTATCAGAGAATAATGAAATTTATTTATTTATTATTTTGATTATAATTTATTTAATTAAGATGATTTAAAATTTTATTCATTTAAGGTTATTTTTTATTACATGAGGTGGGGAAAGGAAATTCAAACCACCGTATTGTATAGGAGAACTTCACAACGTTACATTAAATCCATCTGAATTTTATTTTAAATAAATATTTTCAAAAATCTTTTAAATTTGATGAAAATTTATAAAAAAATTTAAACGAAAATGTATAAAAATCTACAAAAAAAAACTTCCATTAATTCCATACATATTTATAAGTGTCCACAAAATTTACAGACATCATCATTTGAAAAAAAAAATAATATTATTTGTAAATCATCGTGTGCATAATAGCGTATAGATATATGGGATAAAAAAGTGAGGATATTTACAATGACTGAATTTCGTTTCTTTCAATCTTTTTCTGTCTTCCACATCATATTTCTATAATCATTATGTATACAATGATGTACAAATAACATTACTCATTTAAATTATTTATAAAAGTCAATTAAAGTTTTAATTGAATACACCATTTTTAGTGATTCTTACAATACCTAAGATAGACCCGAGCCTCAATCTTTATATATATATTTTTTAATACTTCAAATTTATAAGTTTATCTATCATACATTTATGTGCAATCTCAAATACTCTCTCTTTACTTATAAGCAACTCTACCCAAATATAAAAATTGTAATGACATTTGATCATTATTTTCCTGATTTGTCTTGGTTATTGGTCAATTCATAGACCTTTATAGACGATGCGAACATATGACTACTCCACTTCCAAATTATAGTGTACTTGTAACAATTATGTTAAATTTAACTAAACAAGATTATCTCAACTCGCAAGAAATAGAACATTTAATCACTTTAATACATAAAAATTGTTAAGAGTTATTTAAGTTTTATTTTAGATAAATAAAGAAATCAAGTCAAGATAGTATTCTATTTTATAGGAATTGTGGTTGATGACGTTCACCAGGTTTGACTTTAGTTTCCTAAATTGTAAGTCTATTTTTCATTATGTGTGAAGTGTTTTTCAATTTGAGTTTCTATCAAAAAAGGTACTTTTATCAAATTTTAACATGTGGAATCCCAATCACCACTGAGCTTGGGGATGTCAATCAGGTTCGTCGGCTCGAACCGTTCATGACTTGGCTCAAGCCCCATTTTGGGGACACGGGCTTTGCCCGAGTCGGCCCGTGAGCCTTTTTATAAAATAAATAAATAAATAAATAAATAATAATAATAATAATAATAATAATAATAATACAACTACTTTTAAGTGGCAGCGAACTGCTGCCTTCTACCTTAATTGCTACCATTTAAGGTAGCCAGCTGTTGCCTGCCTTTAAAGGCAACAGCTTATATATATATATATAAGGGCCTGCCCGGCTTGGCTCAGAAAGGCCCGAGCCGAAAGCTCGAGTCGAGCCTAAAATTTTTGGGTGAGCTTTTGCTCGGGGCGACTCGGGCCCGAAAAAAAATTCGACCATTTTAACCGAGCCGAGCTCGAGCCTTAAGTTATCGGCTTGACTCGACTCGTTGACATCCCTAGCTTGAGATTAAGAAAGTAGCTGCAGCTTCTTTGCAAAGGCAAGGATAAACGGCGTTAGAGAACAACAACTATGTGCAACTGCGATTCTCAAATTCGATGGTCATTATGACTATTGGAATATGTTGATGGAGAATTTTCTGAGGTCCAAGGAGTATTGGGCGCTTGTGGAAACTGGATATGCTAAACCAAGAGAAGCATCTCTGACAGAAGCACAACAAGGAAGATTTCATGAGTAGAAGCTAAAGGATTTGAAGGTGAAAAACTATTTATTCCAGACAATTGATTGTACCATTTTGGAGACCATTCTTCAGAAGAACACTTCTAAAAGAGATCTAGAATTCAATGAAGAAGAAATACAAAGACTCTGTGAAAGTTAACTACTCTCAACTTCACTTGTGGCTCAACCTCGTCAACAATCAAAAGAAGAAAGGGATTATAATTTGAGGGATGAAAACACAAGAAAGAGGCTTGTATGGATGATGGATTATGATTTAAATAATTCAATTTCTGGTAATGATAATGCTTATTTTGCTTTGTATGTAGACAATGATTCAATCACATATGATGAGGTTGTTAAAGAAAGGAAATGGAAGGAAGGAATGGACAAAGAAATTGAGTCCATTGAAGAGCTGACAAATCTACTTAATGGATAGAAAACCATTGGTGTCAAGTGGGTTTTCAAGACAAAGTTAATGAGAAGGGTGAAATTGACAAGCACAAAGCTCGTTTGGTAGCAAAAAGGTATAAGCAAAAGCATGGGATTGATTATAAGGAAGTATTTGCCCCAGTTGCAAGGCAAGATACAATCAAGTTGGTAATTTCATCGGTAGATCAAAACTCGTGATCAAATTTTTAATTAGAAGTAAAATCTGCTTTAATGCATGGCTACAAGAAGGGGTGTTTATTAACTAGCCATCTGGCTATGAGCAAAAAGGAATGAAAGAATAGGTTTACAGATTAAAGAAAGCACTCTATAGACTAAAATAAGCACCACAAGCTTTGTACAGTAGCATAGATGCTCATTTAATCGAGCTGGGATTTCACAAATGTCTTTTTGAGCACTCTCTTTATGTTAGGATTGAATGATGCAAATTACTGATTGTGTGTTTATACGTTGATGAATTGATATTCATTGGTAATAATGTTAAGATGTGTAATGAGTTTTAAGATGTCTATGATGAAGGAGTTTGAAATGACTAATCTAGGATTAATGCGCTATTTTTTGGGATTAGAAGAAATATGCACAAGAAATTCTTGCAAGATTTAAAATGATAGATAGCAAGCCATTTGGAACACCAATTGAACATGGTTTGAAGCTACGAAAAGATAATGGTGAAAAATGAGGTAGATAGCAACTATTTCAAGCAAATCGTTGGTAATCTCATGTACCTAACCTCTACGAGACTTGACATCATGTATGCAGTAAGTTTGATTAGTAGATACATGGAAAAGCCATCTGAGGTGCATCTCAATACAGCTAGAAGAATCTTCAGGTATGTAAAGGATACAATTGATTGTGGTGTCTCTTTTAAAAAAATAAACATGGTACTGATTTATTGGCTATACAAACAGTGATTATGCAAGTGATATAGAAGATCGCAAGGGTACTCCCGGTCATGTGTTCATGCTTAATTTTGTTGCAACATCCTGGTCCTCAAAGAAGGGGTGGATAGTGATACTTTCCACAACTGAAGTTGAGTTTGTAGCAATAGCTTCAAGCTCATGTGTGCCTTGTGGCTTAGAAAAATGTTTGAAGTACTTGGTGATGAGCAGAGGTGTCCAACAATCATTTATTATGAAAACATGTCAACTACCAAGCTGTCAAAGAATCCAATCATACATGGGAGGAGTAAACACATTGATGCTTGTTTTCATTTTCTGAGAGATCTTTGTAAGGATGACAAGATTGAGCTGCAATATTGTGAGAGTGGAGAACAGTTCGCAAATATTTTGACCAAGTCGTTGAATCAACCAGCATTCGAGAAGTTGGGGAAAATGCATCTCGTTTGTTCAGCTCAAAGCATTGGTCAAGGAGAAACAACAGATGAAAATGACCGTGTGAGAGAAGAAATCCTCAACCGTTTTTCAGCAAAAATCAATTTAAGGGAGTGTCAATAGTTATTTAAGTTTTATTTTAGATAAATAATGAGACTAAAGATAGTATTCTATTTTGTATGAATTGTGGTTGAGGATGTTCACCACGTTTGATTTTAGTTTCTTAAAAATCTTCACTAGTTGATTTGGTAGTTTAAATTATTTCTACTTAAATTGTAAGTCTATTTTTCATTGTGTGTGAAGTGTTTTTCAATTTGAATTTCTATCAAAAAAGTTGCCTGCATCTTCGAGAAATAAAATCCACTTCTTGTCGTATCGTGATCTTCAGTTCCCAGTTCCCACATCACGACTTGTTCAATATATATACACACATGAAAAGAAATAAAACAGTCCTCGTCTCTAATTACCTTGATATTTTGATTAATATGCTTGCATAATCGATAAAAAAAGATTATTGGATACTAATAATAATCCCAAAATTGAATACGTTAAAGCAAAAGACCATCTAAATCTGAAAAATTAAAGCGCCAAATAAAAAATAAGTAGTTATTTTGACTGTACTTATTTTACTTGTCCGTAAATTTTTTTCCCCTTGTTTACAGCTTTATTTTTATCACTGATGGTGAAACCGACAAAAGCCCATCTGCCAGGCAGCAATGGAGATGGTAAACTCTCATGCCAACGCCTACGAAGCATCAGTTCAGTGCCATTGTTGCTCCACGTTACGAGAACAGAATCTTCATTGTACTTCGAAAATATAAATTGAAGTATTGGCCGTGAAGCATATATTTAGTGCCTTTGTCTCAACCTTATCAGCGTCACATTTACATGTCGATTTAACGTTTATGCCCCAGAAACTGTTGTGATTGTACAGAACCAAAAAAGATGTGCCCAAAATCAAGTTAAAATCCATTAACATATTCAAGTTAATGCAAGTCAAATATGAAAGAAAATACAATACAAGAGATACCCACATCGCTAAATTAGAAAACAAAATCTGCAGAGTACAAGATGCTCCCTACAAGATCGTTCCAACTCATTCAAGAAAGTAAGCTTTCCTGGAGAATTGAGTATTTCTCAAGCTAGCTAGCCACAGTTGAAATAGAAATTCATTATATCACCAAAATCGATCTGGGTGCAGGAATCTAAACACCACACTTCCAAGACTAGTTATATCTTCATACTGAAAGAATTAAGTTGCATTTTAAAGCATCCAGATGAGAAAACTAGCTAGTTGGCCATAGCCTGTTACGATAATGATCAATCATATGGATTGCCTTATAATGCATGCTTTAATTTCTAGATTAACATCAAAAACCTGTGAAACAGAATACCTATAGGGAAGAACCTTAAGAAAATGCAAAACCAGTCTAAGCTTAAACAAGTCTTACAGGATAAGATGTCTAACTCAAAATGACAGCATAAGCTCGTTCTCTAACCCACATTAAATAAGAAGAATAAAACTTGGCATTATATAACAGGTCGCAAACTAGGCCTTCATCTTCTAGACTGAGTTTCTCTTGCTAGTACTCTTGATTATCTTAGTCAAATCTGAGCCATAAAGAAGCCTTATCCAAGGGACACGAGCAAGCTCCTACAGGATAAGCTTAGACGTAACATCTACCTGCCATAGGGATGATAACGACTACTGCCACTATAACCTGCCCTACTTCCATACAATCCTCCACCATAACCAGCACCAGGGCCGGAATCATAACCAGCACCAGGCCCGGCACCAGCACCACTGTAACTCCCGTAGCCACCGCCACGGCCATAAGCACCTAACCCACCACCATAACCTCCACCATAGCCACCACCATAAGAACCAAACCGACTGGAATAGCCAAGAGGGCCATCCCCTCGATACCCATACTCACTACTGGTAAAATCACCATATCGACCACCAAATTCACTTGCGCCACCATATCCTCCATAGTCGCCAAACCTACCACCAAGACTTGATCCCATTGACCTATAAGGAGGAGGATCAAAACTGCCACTTCCAAAACTGCTATAGGAATTGCCAAATCCTCCAAAACTATCTCCAAATGCACGTCCCCTAGAATCACTACCATATGCAGGAGCAGGTGTTGGGTTTGAAGGTTTCTTTGGTTCAGCCTTCTTGATCTCAACCTACATCAAAGAAGCAAGTTAACCTAGAACTTCTGCCTGCAAATAAGTTTTACAGCTTATGCTAAAATTTCAAACTACAGAAGGAAAACCTATAACCTGAACTTATAGTGTCAAATGAACCACGAATTGGTGAGAAATCTATTTTAAAAATTCTAAAATTCCACCATTCGACAACTTTAAAGTTGAAATACCACATAGCTTCCAGGAACTATTAGGAAAACTGTGTTTACGTTCATCCAATATCACAGGGAACCACTTGAAGAAACTTACCTGAGTACCCATCATATCTATCATATTTCCATCAGCCAGCATATTATCAACTACTTGTTCATTATCAAACACTACAAATCCAAAGCCTCGGGACTTCTTTGTCACATGATCTCGAATGATCTCATGCTCGACAACCTTCCCATACTTGGAGAAGAAATTCTTGAACTCATCTATGCACAAGAACCAGTGGAAACAACAAGTAATAATTGCATAGAATACACAAGATCAGTAAATACAGTGCCTTAAATTATGTATTTCTACCTTCAGTCATAGAAGTGGGAATCCCACCAACAAAAATCTTTTTTGTCTTGAAATCCTTGGATTCAGCAGCTCCTTTTGGAATGGTTCTTTTAATCTCAACCTGGCAAAAAAAATATAAAAGGATTAATGTAAGTAGCAAAGAAAATAGAAAGCAGCTGTTCTATGAAAATGCTTAGTGGAAAATTCATTTCCTTACAACAGATATTATTTAACCCCACTGAAAAACAATAAAATTGAAAACAGTAATTACTTTCTGAATATATGATTACTGGATTATTATATTAAAAGAAACTTTAAAGCTGGTATTTAAAAAAATATTATAAAATAAATTCTCACTTGTTTTCCATTGATGATGTGGGTTTCAGCGATAACAGTGTCAACAACACAGGGATCGGCATAGGTTATGAAACCAAAACCCCGTGGCCGACCTGTGTGCCTATCTTTCATGATAACGGAGTCCGTAATTTCTCCATACTTGCCAAAATACTTCACAAACGTATCTACAGAATTCCCATATTTCAAAGATAAAATAAAAAATTCACAAATTTATTAAACACCACCAAAAGAATTAATTAATGCAAAAGAGTGGTTCGAAGGAAAAATCGAACCTAAAGTAGTGTCTTTTGCGAGACCTCCGATGAAAATCTTCCTGCTCCCAAAAATAATAAAAAATAATAAAAAATAATCAAACATAATCTTAAGTTAAAAATATAAAAATATCTAATCATACATACATACAATACACATATTTACACGGACACAAAAATATAGAGAGAGAAACGGACCCAGGGCTAGCACCATCACCAAAATCTGGCCTTTTGGAACCCATTGAAGGATTTGAGCTGAGCAGATCTGATATAGACAGAGGAGCTAAAGATTTAGGTTTTTGACTATCGAGTATTTGTGCGCGTCCAGGGGAAGTTATAGGGTAAACAGTTGTGGTGTTTATATAGGCGTACCTGTAACTCACACAATTGAGCTATATCACATTCATCCTCGAAGTTTATAACAAACACAGATACATCCCCACGTTTAAAAATTACATCATACGCCTGTTTGAGTCCCTTTTTGGCTAAAAATATATTTTGTAATAATAGATTGATGAAAAATATGTGGTTAAAAATTAGAAAAATAGATTTTTATTAATATCATATTTTTTATTAAAAAATGTGCAGTTGAAAAGAAAAAATGAAAAACATATTTTAAAAATAATAAGGATCAAACAAGGGCTATATATATTTTGAGTTTCCAATGGGGGACGTGGTTCAATTTTTGGTCTGAACCATAGCTGTACCAATTATTATGGGGAAAATTACCTACAACCCTACCATTAAAGATTAGTTTTCGTAAATAAGATGGTTAAGTTTAAATTTCAAATTTTAGGTGGTAAATAGAATTTAAAATTTAAAACAAGAATCAAAATTCCCCAGCAAACCCTCTTTCTCTCTCTCTCTCTCTCCCTCCCCCCACCTACCTCTCTCTAATTTCGTTGATCGATCGACACTTACAACGGGACCGCATGGAAGGTGGCTCTCCTCTTGAGCGGCCGGAGTAGAAGGTGGTGTGTACAACAGCGTGAAGACCTCGTCGACCCCCGATCATCGAAGCGAAGCTCTTCGCTGTCCATTGGCAATTCGTAGATCTCACGCCTACAGCGGCCTAGATCGCCATTCCTTCTTTGTGAGCGTCGCTAGAGACTCTACAAATCGCAGCTGCAGATTGTGATGAGAGTTGAGTTCTTTGTTCGATTAGAGCCCTTACTTCGCCGTCGTTGCTATTATGGTAAAGCTTGCAAAAATTCAGGAGAAAACCATGCGGAGGTGCTTGGTGTTGGCGGCGTGGTGATGGCAATGTTTTCTGTGTAGTGGTGTTGACCAGTTGTGCAGATCTGGTATGTGGTCAGTTGGTAGATTCAGATCTGGTTGGTGGTAGTGGTGGTGATAATGTGTGGTTGGATGCGGTGGTGGTGGGTGTGTGCACTGTGGATGCATATTTGGTTGACATTGTCAAAAGTGGTGGCAGTGCCGATAAAAATCAGGTGTGACCAAGTCTCTCTTTATCGTGACTGCCTGTAACCAGAACTATGTTAAATGTGATTATATGTGCCTTGTTTACATACAATCACAGGTTAGACTAATACGGTCACAGACAGTCACAATGAAGACAAATTCGATCATAATTAGTTACATATAACATAGGCCAGTGAATGTAGTACAGTTGGAGGTGAAGGTTGCAATGATTAGTGGTAGATTGTGGTACTAATCTACGATGTGTGAAGATTTTTGTGGTGACTCTTTGTGGGCAAGTATGAGTTTATTGTAAAAGTTGTGACCAATTCTATGTTGATTGTTATAGAGACTTTTCTACAATGGAGTATATAGAGAAATTGTTTTCAAATTTTGAAGAATTTTCTATCATCGAAGCGATCGCCGGACGAGTCATCGAAGTAGTCGTCGGATGATCATCGGAGTGGTCATTGGAGCAGTTTTTCGAAGCTGTCACCGGAGCTGTCGGAGCATATGACTATCTCCGGTGGAGAGGTGAAGGGGAGGTGGTGTAGTGGGGTGAGGTGGCATGAGATGAAAATAATTGATGTATATTATATTATAATTTAATATTTTAATAAATTTATTTACCACGTGATTTTTGAAATATTTTAGTGAGTTTGCTATTTATGAAATGTAATATTTAAAATTAGGACTTATGTGTTGATCCCTTATTATGGGCATAATATCGAGTCACCCCAAATCATACATGTTTGGATCAATTTGGTTTGTATTAGTGAATTCAAACGCGAACACAATTTTTATAGACATCATAACCAATTGCCTATAATGGCTTTCCCTTGATGAGACATTGAGGTTTCCTTATATTAGGACAACCTGGGATGAGCTGGATTTTGTATTGTAATCGAAATCCAACTCAACCATATTGATTTCTCTTAAAAATAACTCGTTAATAAGCATTTTTATGATAAAAACTACCTAAACCAGTTAGATCGATCAATTTTGTGAACGGTCTAAATGGCCGGCATTAGTTTTCACTGAGAGTACGTTTGATTATCAATATTTTCATGAAAAATATCATTTTTCACCAAAATTCATACTTTTGTGCTATTTGATTGATATTTTTTTATGGAATTTTTTTTTAAATTTTGGTCACATGACCATATTTTCCTTAAAAATAAGGAAAATATTTTCTTTAAGAATAATAGGTTTTTATTTTCCAGGTTATTCACTCTATCTTTCTCTTTCATCTACCCCTCTCTCTTCTATTTATCTATCAATAAAAAAATGGACAAGTATAATATTTTTTAGATTGAAAATAAAATCAATCAAACACATTTTGCCCATATTTGATTCCCATTCTTTTGCCATAAAAAAGAAAAATATGATCGTTATCCATCACATCAAGCCACCATATTTGACTTTATATCTCTTGTGTAGGTCTCATAACAGCTATATTTTTCATTTTCATTTTTACAAAAATGGGTACCAAACGAGGCCTTAATTTATAATTTCCTTACAAATAATTTATAGGTAAATTAATTACTTAGAATTTATTTTATATCTATGAAAATTACATGCTCACAATCAAATATGCCCTAATATATTCTCCCATTAATTACCTTTTTGACAAGCATATTTGAAAAGTATTTATAAATATTTTAAATTACAAATAAATAAAATTGAGTGGGGATAAGTAGTAATACTTATAGATCCCTGAAAATGTATTGATAAAGAGTAGACTAGGAGTTATAAACAAACAAAAATGTAAGCCAAACATTATGTTAAAACAAATTTTTTGAAAATCGGACATTGACTTGGAAAAGAGAGAGGAGTGAGGGTTAGAGGGTCTAATCGGGGCTGAATCAAGTCAAACCAAAATTAATATAATTTAATAAAAAAAATCATATATTGATATATTTCTTTGGTATTAAAATTTTATATCATTTAAAAGAATTAGTTTTCATTATTTAACTTTCAATAATTACTTTAATAACCATTTCACATCAAAATAACACAAAATACGGTCAAAATGCAATTAAATATAGAATAAAAACTAAATGAGCTACAAAATAAACTAAGCACATGTTTGTCTACTTTTAAAACAAAATTTTTTTTCTCAAACTTTGCACACCCAAACATTTTTTTTTTATATACTTTTTAACCACACATTCATTAAGCCCTTGTTTGAGCCCCATTTTGGGGGAAATGAATTTTGAAATAGTGTATTGATGAGAAATATGTGATTAAAAAATAAGGAAAAACTTTGAATTTGCGTGATATATTATTTTATTGAAAAATGTGTGATTGAAATGATGTCAAAATACTGTTTATAAATGTGTTTTTTGTGGAAAAAATGGGGGTCAAACAAGCGCTAAAAATAACTCTTCCAAAATTCTTTTGCCCAAAAATTTTGATTAAAATGGTTTTCAAAAATAGGCCCAAATAAAATTAGAAGGAATCCTAAATACCCTTGTTTGAGCCCCCTTATTCTAAAAATTCATTTTTTTTCAAAACTTATTTTCAACCGCACATTATTCAATAAAATAATATTACATTTAAACCAAAGAACTTTACCTTAGGGCCCAGTTTGATCGAATTTATTTAGAAATAATGAGTTAATAATTGTATTTTTTTTGAGAATTTGTGGTTAAAAAGTAATGAAACTTTATTGGTTTATATATAAAATATTTTATTGTGTGAATGTGTGGTGAAGAATGATACTATAGCAAACAATTTAAATTTTTAAAAGATGATAAACGGGGGCTTAATTTTTAAACAAACCTTTTTCCATCAATCTACTATTCAAAATACATCATTTCCCCCCAAAATGGGGCTAAAGCACTCGTTATATCCTTCAAAATGCCAACCGTAGGAAAGAAGACTAGAGAGTGCATCTCTAATCAATTTACGGATTCTTTGTTCATTCAAATTTTCTTGTTTCTTTTTAGATTTTTGGGCGTCATATATTGCATTAATGAACTTAAGCTAAATGGAAGAAGTTAGATGAAAGATTAGTCAAGGTTCTTCTTCACTTTTATTTTTCTCTCTAAATCAACCGGAAGACTTGGTATAAATGTAGCTGGGTCGTCGATTTTTGTTGTGCCATCCGGATTTTCAATTTTCAAATCGTAGTATATTCTCATGATTCTTGTAACATTTGTTTAGATATTTTGACAGTAATAAGATTCAAAATTTTGTGGGCTGGCTTGTTTTTATATGTGGAAATTACATAATACCAAACATTAAAAATTCCCCATTCCAAAATCAGATTTACTATTCAAAAATTAGAAAATCGTAATTTTCTCACTTATTTTTTTCTCTCTCTACATTTTTTCTCTAAGATTTAATAAATCAATTAATCCCAAATCATTCATTCACCCTCTCGTTTCTCTCTCTCTTTTTCCCATTTTTATTTTTTCTCCGACGGCCGATCACTCACTCCAGTGACACTATGACAATGAAGCCATCACGGTGGAGTGAGTGTCACCTCCAGCAGCCTCTCCTCAGTTTCCATTCTTCTCTTCTTCTCCACATTCATCCGTTCGGGAACCACCCTTACCGGCGGCGGTAAAGGCAGCAGTTGTTCACTAAGTCTTCAACAGTTGTTCACTATGTCTTCCTCCTCATTCGGTTGTTAATATAGATGGTGAGGCACTGCTAGCAGCGATACCTTACTGCTCCTAGACGGCAACGGTGGGTGCTGTCGCCCGAATTTGCAACGGTGCCTTTGCTGGTGGTGGTGGCTGACAGCGTTAGATCTACTGCTGGTGGTGATTGATGGTTCATCTGACGGTGAGGTGCGATGGTGGATGTCGAATATGGGGTGGTGGCTAGTGGTGATTTGAAATATTATCCTAATTAATAATTCAAAAGTTAAACTTTCGGATTCTTTATTTCGATTTCAGATTTGTGATTTCGATTTCTTACTTTC